TAGGATAAAAAAGAATGCTGAAGTGACAGCCATTTATCTTATTATGCCAACTTTACCATTTTTAAAATTAGTGATATATGGATACATTCTATCAATTTTTTTCAAGAAAAAAAATATGAATGTACAGGAAATGTTTTTCCCCAGGAGACCGTTATGCTGCAAAGAAGCTGCAGGTGTGTACTACTAACACATGAGCAGTATGTCTTTGTACTGACCTAAGAGGGGTAAGTGGGGAGTGATTTCCAGCATGCACATCTCTGGATGAAGAGCCTAAGGAGAGGGAGCAGGTTAAGATCCATGAAAGCCACCAGGGTGATCCAAAGGTGTGTGGCGTGGTCTCATGAGTGTGGAGTGTTGCCCCAGTGGAGGACAAAAGAGGAGGTGACCCGACCTGTGGGGACTTGTAGAAACAATGATTGATGCTTATACATTGGATGTGAATGCTTGTTTGCTCCTTATCATCTGGCAGCACATCCTTGTGGTGAGTGTGCATTTTGTCCATCTGGTGGCAGGAGACTCAGAGTGACTTCGGTATGAATATTGGTGGATGTGAATTCCTCATTGAACACTTTTTTGGACTGTCACGGGTCCCGCATTTCTGGTGTGGGTGGTTGCGGCTGACAGTATTTGTGCAGGTCCCACAGCGACACCACCCGCACAGATGTCACCCTAGCCTTATTGGGTTTAAAGCAATTTTACTTATAAAATAAACTTTCATCTTTAATACAAACAGAACCAGTTTTACCATTAACAGACAGAGTGAATATACAGGTGAAAAGTTACACTCATTGGCTAGCCATTTTCCCACCGAAAGATTTGTCACCAATCCAGCACTCCGCTGATTGAAGACCTGCCCAGCAGCCGAGGTAAATCTTCTCAGCAACAGTGGACAGCTTGTAACCTGAAACATGAAACAGAGAAAAAACCAGCAAAGTATCCCCAGAGAGATATGTACTTACAACTGAACTTTGCCCCAAACAGTTTGATAATTAATGATCTTTAACAAAAGATCCTTCATTCCACGTTAATAATTATGCTACCAAAATTAGTGTGTGCTGAATATTGCCTCCAGCATTGCTCTTATTTCTTCTTTCTGAAGGCCACCATTTTGTTGAAGCCCAGAGCAGTCACTTCCTTACTGGAAACTCTCCCCCTCTCCTTGGTCTCCAAAACAATGTCTCTTTTTGTAATTAAAATATGTATATTTCCAAACTTGACTGTATGCCTTGACTAACTAGAGAGGAAGGCTGACAAAAGCTTTAGGTGCTGCCCATGTGGGTGAAAAGAGAAAGAATCAGGGGAGATACGATAAGACACTCTCCCAGTATGTTTAACTCTTTTGTGTCTCCCTGTTAACAGAGTTTGTCCTGTCACCTCTCCTGCTTTTCTTTCTCCCTAATCTGTGTTCCATCAGCACAGTCTGTGTCATTCCTGTTGCTTTCTTCCCTCTTCAGCAACAGTAAATCTTAAAGCTATCAGCTGATCGACCACTAGTGGCTCTATCGCTTCTCGGCCTTTTGGCTAAGATCAAGTGTAGTATCTGTTCTTATCAGTGTCCAGTGGGGGTGCTACCGACCATTCTGGTAAGAGGATGGTTGTTGTATGGTACCCTCACTGGTATGATGGGGGTCTGGATGGCTATTACGGGGAGGACAGAAACCGGGGAGCGCCATGATTCGTTCTGGGGCCTCGGGAGTAATTCTCCTTTGGAACGTCTGAAGGACCCAGTTGCCTCCTGATTTGGACGGTCTACCTTGGTCTGGCCTGGGGCTGGGAAGGCAGAGAGTCCGCAAACTAGGTGCCCCCTGAGTAGTCGCCTCAGGGGTGCTCTGAGTAACACTTGGGTGTGGGACCCCATGCTGTGAATGAGCACATGGTCACCGAGTTTAACACTTTTTGCACTGCGCCTCTAGGACCGGGCCTTTTGGTCAAGTTCTGGGCAATTTTTTTTGCTACAGGCCTCAGGGTCTGGTCAGTGCACAATTTGGGCACGACACTTTTTATTATTTTTATAGATTTATTTAATTATTTATTTATTTATTTTTCCTCACCCCACGTTTGTCACCTTTTACTTTTGTGTGTGTTTTTTTTCACAGGATGGAGGGTGTGGGTCCTCGGGCCTACCCTGACGTCTAGGGGGAGGATGTGTGGCCATACGGTTCCTTCCTCCCCTGTCCCTAGGGGGTTTTCTCTTCGGGAGAACCCCCTGACCTAGTACTGGATGTCCGGCTTCGGCTGGACATAAGGAACGGTGGTCCACCAGGCCTTTTGGCCAGGAGGACCAAATGGGAACCTTGTCCCTGTCAGGAGCTTCGTGCCCCGGGGGATCAGGGTAACGGTTCAACCCCTTCGGGGGTAGGACAAAAGCACACCCTTAAGTGCACTTTTTGTGTGGTGTTTTGCACTTGCACTTTTTTGTGAACACTTACGGGTTTTTTCGTTATAGTCTCACGTTTGCGGACTTAAAAAAAAACTAGTGGCTCTACGGTTCCTTCCTCCCCTGATCCCTAGGGGGTTTTCTCTTTGGGAGAACCCCCTTGCCTAGTACTGGATGTCCGGCTTCGGCTGGGCATAAGGAACGGTGGTCCACCAGGCCTTTTGGCCAGGAGGACCAAATGGGAACCTTGTCCCTGTCAGGAGCTTCGTGCCCCGGGGGATCGGGTGAACGGTCCAACCCTTCCGCGGGTAGGACAAACACACCCCTAAGTGCACTTTTTCGTGTGGTGTTTTTTGCACTTGCACATTTTTTGTGAACACTTACGGGTTTTTTTCGTTATAGTTGCACGTTTGCAGACTTAAAAAAAACAAAAAAAAAAACAAACAAAAAACTAGTGGCTCTGATTTTAGGCACAGTGCCGAGAATAGAGAGCAACTGAGCATGTGCAGAGCAGGGGGAGTGTGTATTACTGGATTTTAAACAGTATGGCACTTATTTTTAATGTTTTACATAGCTGTACCTGCTAAAGTGGCCAGCCTGAAGTGATCTAGCAGGACTTAATTTTCTGACTAAAGTTCCACTTTAACAGTCACCATAGCCTAAAGAATTTTATTTGCTGTCTGTGTCCCTTTTACAGATAATCCCTCATTTCCTGTCAGGTGAAACCTTTGTCAATAGGACAGGAAGTGGGGGGAAATCTCTAAAATAAATAAGCAATATAAAAATGTAATAAAAGCTTAACAGGGGTTCTTATGCTCCACCACTCAAATCTAACACTAGAAAAAAAAGGTTTTGGCCTTGACACATAGGTTTAATTTACACTTGCAGTTGTTGCGGGGGAAGGCATAAAAGCACGCAGTTTAGTTGAATTTTTACACCAACCACACCACTAAGGTAGTGAAAAAGGGCGTATACATGCTGCAGCCATGATGCTTTGCATTGTGGTGCTGCAAAAATTATCTCTACTATGGAAGATAACTGAATGGAAGCTCTCTGCTCTGCAACCACATGTGATGCATATATTTGCAGCGCGATGGTGTGGGGCCTAAGGGGTTAAACAGGCAGTGAGGAGGCAAAATAATACCTCCTGTCTACCTGCCTGTCAAATGCCCTCAGAAGAGTGACCCAACACGGATCACTGTTCAGTAGGCAACCCAAATGTACATAAGGACTAACATAATCCTGGGATCTAGTGGATGTCTTGGAATGCTCTGGCATTCTTCTAGTTATTTGCTTTTTATTCTCAGTTCATTCTCAATGATCACGTCTGTGTATATGATTTTTTTTTTTCAAGAAAATGGACAATGTTCAACATTGTTTTGTATTTTATACTTTGTGCATTTCTGGATCATGGTCTTCAGCAAAACAAGATATGTTATCAGTTTATTTATGGACATTTATGGACGTTTACCCAAACATAAAACATTTTCTGAGAGGCACCTGAGAATAAAGTGGTGGTAGTTGACCTTCCCTTACCAAAATGAAAAAAAGGACATTTTGCCCAATTCTGATTTCTGAGAGTGGTCAGCTGATCCTGGTACCTGAGAAGGGTCAGCAGCGTCCCTGTGCCTAAGAGTAATTAGATCATGCATGTCTGATGGCCTTGGTACAGTTATAAGAGGCCAGATTTGAAAAAGAATCCCAAATAAGGGCAGATTGGAACCATAATATAAATTCTCCCAGAATAATAATTTAAGTTTCTCATTTGATTGTTTGTGAAAAAATCCATAACCCCTAATCATTAAAATCTAATGTCCCCAAAATATGTGCAGAGGAGCATCAATCCAATATATTAGGTATGTAATCCAATATATTTAATATACTAAAGCTGAATTCTAGCCATACCTAACTAGCCTTAAAAACTCCCCCCCCTTCCCCAACACCCATGCTAACTAACCTTTGTAAAAAAGATAGGTATCTACTTACCTATTTTCAGTCTGGTCACATGATCTGGCTTCCTAGGAACAGCCAGCATGGCTTCAGAGGAGACAAGGCAGCATTGACAACATATGAGCCATTGAAGTCTATGGCTGATATCACCACTGCAGGCTTTACTACCCATTGTTGAGAGCTCTTTCCTCTCCCTTGCGGCTGCCGCTGTAAAGATCACGTGCCTGGACCTGAGCAACCTGAAAATAGGTAAGGGGGTTAGGTGTATAGCCAAAAGTCCACTTTAAGTATACACTTAATATTAGGTATATAAATACTTCACCAACTATGGTGAACAGTGTGTTTCCCAGTGTAAGACAAGGCCGGGGTTTTACACCAACTCCTATACTAAATCTGACCATACACTCTTAGACTTGACAGGTTCCGCCATCCACTCTATACAGCGTAGATGGATGAATCTACACCTAAATGTTTCATCTGGCTCCCGCAATCTTTCATTTGAAGGGTTCAGATGGAGAGTAGCAACAAGGCTGCAGTATTACAGTGTATATAAACCTTAACAATCAACTTCTCCTGTCTGGTCCCTTTTTGCTTTGTTAAATATAATACTGGAAGAGTTTTGTCTTCCTAAGTACTTTCAATACAGATATATCATCTTTATTTTATTTTCCCCAGTTCAAGAAAGCAATGATGAACTAAGCTTGAGGTGTCCATATTCCAAATGTAAATGGTCATATGAAGGCAATCCTATGGAATATGAGGAATCTCAGAATTGCTTGCTGAATTTAGGCTCTGTGTGGAATGATCCTCGTGGAACCTACTCATGCCAGGATCCTGACAACAAGGATGTCATAAAAATCAAGTTTATTGATGTGTATGTGAGAAGTAAGTATGTAGTAAGTACTGTTTTTATCTCTGGAAAAGTACCCAGTACCATAATTCATTTGTTTTTGGTTCATATCTTCATAATATATGTACATACACACACATATTTAAGTAAGAGGTTCCATGGGACTAAAGACTTTTTGCTCTCCTATATGTGATAATATTGAGTGTCTAAGTGGCCGATCTCCAATTACCTCCATGTGGGGAAAAAAAAAAAGAAATCAGTGACTAGTTTCACCTTATTTGGAAGTACTGGTTAAAGTACTTGTGAACTTTAGCAACATCAAAAACATTTTTGAATGGATAAATATAGCACTTCACTTTAAATTAATGTTGTTTTTTTTTTTCTGTAAGGACTTGCCTCTTCCGGTTTGTAAAGTGCAGGTCACATGAGCGCCGTTGATTCCTGAGCAATTCATGGATCTGCTGCTGGACATGTATAAAGTGAGACATGGCAGCTTCACAAGGAGGAGTGAAGGAGTGATTGGCTGGGGAAGCCACCATCAGTCAAGGCAGTTGGGATGGGCAGGGGGTGATTTTACCCTGACAATGGAAGGTACTTTCGATCAGTGCTGACGGCTATAGCCGGTAATACTGATCAGTGTATTCTGATGATTGGAAACTCTCCTTGCTGTCAGAATACAATAGCTCTGCAGGACAGAATCCCCCATCAACACTGAGTGTGTTGCCTAGGGAATCAAATAATTTTTTTTTTGTTCAACCTACTGGTTGAATGAAAAAAAAAAAATGAATCTATGGCCTGTCTTAGGTTTACAAACACTTTAAGTCACTTTATTTTTTTTTTTATTTACTTTTTTTTTTTTATTCATCTTTTTATTCAGTAATTATACAAACATCGTTAAAACATTTTCTCATACAGCATATGCATCTCCCATTTTTCCTGTATTAATAAACACTTCAAATTAACCCACCCCTTCCCCCCAGACATCACAATCTTCTCTCTATCTATATCCTTTCCCATCTCTTTATTCATCTAACTTTCCTATAACATTTTAGGCTACCTCTTTTGCTCTCATTAATTGAGCATAAATTTCTGAATTTTTAAATTGCCTCCAAACATTCCATACTTTTTTGAACGATCCTATCTTATCCTCATCTACACATCTCAGTTCTTCCATATTAAAAATACCTTCCACTCTATCTATCCAATCCGCCATCTTGGGAACATCTGCTACTAACCAAAACTTCGGTATTAAACCTTTTGCCGCGCTAATTAGATGATATAGTATTTTATTTCATACCTGTTCCTACATTAGGCTCAGAGAAACAGAATAAGCATTTCAGAGGGTCTCCCTGGATATTTACCCCGCAAATCTCTTGAATATAATAAGCTATTTCCTTCCAATAGTCCTGTATCCTCAGACAACTCCACCAAATATGTCCCATATTACCCTTTTCTCTACAAACCCCTCCAGCACCATGGAGAACACCCCCCCCCATCTGCTTGTGGACAACACTTGGTGTTATATACCATCTTGCCAGACATTTAAAATTCATCTCGACAATACGCATGTTTATTACATTATGTGTTAAATTACATATGCCTTTCCTTTGCTGGGGGTTAATTTTATTCCTAATTCCTTTTCCTATTTATCCCAATACCCAGGGGACTCTACTTCCTCTAGATTCGTGAGAATCCTATATATCTTTGAGGTGATATGTTTTAGACTTATGTCTGTGTTCATTAATTTTTCAAATGGATTCATATCTTCCCCCCCCCTCAGTGGTTGTGGTAAATTTTGCAACAAAATGTGATAACTGATTATACCTCCACTCATCAAACCTAACAAACAAATCCCTATTTTCCTTTAAATTCTGAAACGTGTCTAATCTCCCCCCTTTTATAATATCTTTCAACCGTGCATTTTTATTTTTAATCCATCTCCCACTTATTTTAACATTTCCAGGTGCAAAAAAATCTGGCACCCCTAAGGGTATCAATAATTAATTAAATTTCCATTTCTTCTTATTGTGTAATTTATCCCATGTGTTTAATACTATCCACGTCAATCCACTTGTCTCTACATCCAGGGCGCGAAACCCATGAGGTATCCAAATCACTTTATCTAAATTTACTTTACTTAATTCCTCTTCTATTCTTACCCAACATTTCCTTTGTACGGTAAAAAACCAATCTATCACCCGTGACAAAATTACAGCTGTGTAATAATTCTTTATATTTGGTAACCCTAAACCTCCATTTGCTTTTACTCTGCAAAATACTTTATAACTAATCCTAGGCCTCTTATTTGCTTGAACTTGCTACTCATCTTTCGGATTATTGCAAAAAAAACTCCAGGCAATGATATCGGCAACATTTGAAATTTATACAAGATTTTAGGGAGTATCACCATCTTAATTAAATTAATTCTTCCGATCCAGGAGACCCCTCCTTTTATTAGTCTTTTCAACTCATCTTTTATCTCGTTTATTAGGGGAATGTAGCTCATTTGGTATAAGCTTTTTACCAATGTCGTTAATTTTATTCCAAGGTATCCAATTTAATTTTCTTCCAGGAAAAAGGGAACGTTCCTTGCAACCTTCTCTTTTCTGAGTCTGTAAGATTGATGTTTAGGATTTCCGATTTAACCGGATTAATCTTCAAATTTGATACCCCCCCATATTTTGAGATCCTTCATTAAATTGGGTAATGAAATACTAGGGTTGGCCACATAGAACATCATGTCATTGCATATGCAGTGACTTTGTGCTCCCTACAGTTGTGGCCAAAATTATTCAACCCCCAATGCTGTAAAGGGGTTTAGGGACTATAGTGTACATTTGGAATTTGTATCAGAATCAAATCCTACAAGGACGTTGTAACTACCCAAATGCAACTAAAATGACATCAATTGTTTATGTAATACAGTAGTAAATGGTTCTTATGTGGTTTCTTCATTGCCACAATTATTCAACCCCTTAAAGACTTCCACTCTGAAGAACAGAGGTTCATACAGGTGCTTTCCATCAGGTATTGAAAACACCTGTGGATGTCACCGAGCAGCAATCAAGCATAATAAGCACCAATTAGGCAGCTTTAAAATGACTGTGATACTCAGCTCCTTCTAGACATTTACTGGTGTGGTTACAAACATGGTGAAGGCAAGAGAATGGTCCAGGAAGACAAGAGAAGAGGTGATTTCTCTTCACAGGAAGGGCAATGGCTATAAGAAGATTGCAAAGATGTTAAACATACCAAGAGACACCTTAGGAAGCATCATTCGCAAATTCAAGGCAAAGGGCACTGTTGAAACGCTACCTGGTCGTGGCAGAAAGAAGATGCTGACTTCGACTGCTGTGCGCTACCTGAAGCGTAGAGTGGAGAGAAGTCCCCGTGTGACTGCTGAGGAACTGAGAAAAGATTTGTCAGATGTGGGTACAGAAGTTTCAGCCCAGACAATAAGACGCACACTGCGTAATGAAGGCCTCCGTGCCAGAACTCCCAGGCGTACCCCCTTGCTGTCTCCAAAGAATAAGAAGAGTCGACTGCAGTATGCCAAAAGCCATGTGGACAAAACCACAAAAGTTGTGGGATAGTGTTCTGTGGACTGATGAAACAAAATTAGAACTGTTTGGGCCCATGGATCAACGCTATGTTTGGAGGAGGAAGAACAAGGCCTATGATGAAAAGAACACCTTGCCTACTGTGAAGCATGGTGGAGGGTCAATCATGCTTTGGGGCTGTTTTGCTTCTGCAGGTACAGGAAGCTTCAGCGTGTGCAAGGTACCATGAATTCTCTTCAGTACCAGGAGATATTGGATGGAAACGTGATGCAGTCCGTCACACACCTGAGGCTTGGGAGACGTTGGACCTTTCAACAGGACAATGATCCCAAGCATACCTCCAAGTCCACTAGAGCATGGTTGCAGAGGAAAGGCTGGAACATTTTGGAGTGGCCATCGCAGTCACCAGACTTAAATCCGATTGAGAACCTCTGGTGGGACTTAAAGAAAGCAGTTGCAGTGCGCAAGCCTAAGAATGTGACTGAACTGGAGGCCTTTGCCCATGAAGAATGGGCGAAGATACCCGTAGATCGCTGCAAGACACTTGTGTCAAGCTATGCTTCACGTTTAAAAGCTGTTATAACTGTAAAAGGATGCTGTACTAAGTACTAAGATTGAATGTCACTTGGGGGTTGAATAAAACTGATAATGCTGTGAGCACAGAAAAGACATTTGTGGTTATTTCATTATAACTGTTATGTTATATTTGTCTGACCTACAAGTGCCTCTTTAATGTAAATGTAAGCAAGATGACTGAATGATCAAAAGCAATGTCAAACCCAAAACACTCAATTTCAGTGGGGGTTGAATAATTTTGGCCACAACTGTATCTCCTATTTTTATCCCTCTCAAATCCTTACTTCTCCTTACCCTCTCCAGCAATGGTTCCAACGATAACACAAACAGCATGGGGGACAGAGGACAACCATGCCTTGTTCCATTCAACATCCCAAAAAACTGAGAGAAGGTTCCATTGACTTTTACCGCCGCAGATGGGTTTTTATATAATCCTTTTATACAATTTATCATTCTAGGTCCCATTCCCAATTTCCCCAATACATCAAACATAAACCCAAGTTAACCCCTGTCAAATGCCTTTTCTGCGTCTATCGACAGCAGAATCACAGGTGTTTTTCCCTTCTTAGCTTTTTGAACCAACAACAAAGATCTCAAACCATTGTCCCTCCCTCTCTACCGGGTATAAACCCCACCTGGTCCAGATGCACCCAATCAGACATCAAATCCCTCAACCTCACTGCCAATACCTTTGCGTACAATTTAGTGTCTACATTTACCAGCGAAATTGGTCTATAACTTGCACATTGGGAGCTATCCTTCCCTTCCTTCAAAATGAGGTTGATATAAGCCTTGAGGGATTCTTCCCTCATTTCCAATCCCTCTCCTATCGCATTCATGTATTTACAGATTTTGGGAACCAATATCTCTTTAAATTTCTTCAAGTATCTTACCGTATA